ATATGAACAAGGGCCAAGTGACAGGTGATCAGCTCTGTGGGCTTAGCAGTCTTGCAGTCTTGGAGGACCATGAAAACATGCAGCAAAAGAAGGAACGTATTTGCTGAAATTCCAATGCAAATTTGGAAATAACAAATGTTCTTAATGATGGCATGAGTGTATATTTTATTCATCTTCATGAGAGAGGGGAACATTCTTTATCTAGAAAGAAAGGAATGCGGGGAGAGAAAGGAAAATAAGAAAAGACACAATGACACAATTAGGATGATGAGGGAATCCCCTACATATGCTATGATATGTTTTAGTTGCATTTGTTGATCAAAAAAGCTGCTTAACCTATGGCAGGCAGAATAGAGATAGATTGGAAAACTAAACTGAATATATAGAGAGAGTAGGAGGAATCAAAGAGATGCCAGGTAGCTGCTAAAGGAGAAAGATGCTGGAACATCACTGGTAGGTCACAGCCTTGTAGTATACAGAGATTTAAAAAATTGGGTTAATTTAAGATGTAAGAGCTAGCTAAGAATACATCTAAGCCATTGGCAAAACAATGTTGTAATTAATATGGTTTTTGTTCGATTATTTGGGTTAGGATGATTGGGAAACAAAAGTGCAAACTCCACTTACAAAATGGCACTCAGTTCAGCAATGTACATTGACATTAAAGAAAGCTTTAAAAAGGGCAACTACACCCACAAAACAGAAGTTGGCTTATTGGTAGCCACATTTTTTTGTTTTCAGATTGGCTCTCTCTGCTGGCAGTGAACAGAGGCATGACTCCTTTGAGAGAAGGATTCCAGACTCAGCCTTAGCAGAAAAATTGTATAGCTTCTTTAAAAAACTGCTTCATAGTTTGTGCTGGTGGCTCAAATGGCTCTGGCTCTTTTGGGAACTTCTGTAAAGCTTCTGTAAAGCAAAGGACACTGTCATTAAGACAAAAAGGCAACCTACTGTTTGTGAGAAGATCTTCACCAACCCCAAATCAGACAAAGGTCTGATCTCAAAAATATACAAAGAACTCAAGAAACTAGACACTAAAACTCTAATTAACCCCATTAAAAATGGGGTACTGAACTGAACAGAGAATTCTCAAACACAAGAATTTGAATGGCCAAAAGACACTTAAGGTCATGCTCAACCTCCTTAGCAATCAGGGAAATGCAAATCAAAACAACTTTGAGATACCATCTTACTTCTGTCAGAATAGCTAAAATCAAAAACACCAATGATAGCCTATGCTGGAGAGGATGTGGAGTAAGGGGAACACTAATCCATTGTTGGTGAGAATGCAAACTTGTGCAGCCACTGTGGAAATCAGTCTGGCGGTTCCTCAGGAACCAGCAATTCCACTCTTGGGAATATACCCAAGAGATGCCCTATCATATCACAAAAGCATTTGTTCAACTATGTTCATAGCAGCACTATTTGTAATAGCCAGAACCTTGAAACAACCTAGGTGCCCCTCAATAGAAGAATGGTTAAAGAAGGTGTGGAACATATACACATTGGAGTTTTACTCAGCGGTAAAAAACAATGACATCTTGAATTTTGCATGCAAATGGATGGAAATAGAAAACACTTTACTGAGTGAGGTAAGCCAGACCCAAAAAGAGGAATATGGTATGTACTCACTCATAAGTGGATCCTAGCCATAATTAAAGGACATTGAGCCTATAATTCGTGATCCTAGAGAAGCTAAATAAGAAGGTGAACCTGAAGAAAATCATAGAGTTATCCTCCTGGATATTGGAAGTAGACAAGATTGCCAGGCAAAACTTGGGTGCACAGGGGTGTGGGGGTGGATGTAAGGGGAGATGGGTAGAGAGAAGGGAGAAGGGGAGGATTCAGAAGAGCTTGGAGAACTGGGATGGGTGGGATAGAACAAGGGTGAATTTGGGAGCAGGGAAGTAAACATCTTAATTAAGGGAGCCATTTTAGGGTTTGCAAGAGACTTGACTCTAGAGAGGTTCCCAGATCCAAGGAGAGGTCCCCAGATTGTTCTTTGGGCAGCAGAGGAGAGGGTGTCTGAACTGGCCTTGTCCCATAGCTACACTGATGAATATCTTGCATATCACTATAGAACCTTCTTCTGGCGATGGATGGAGATAGAGACAGAGACCCACAATGGAGCACTGGACTGAGCTCCCAAGGTCCTAATGTGGAGAAGAAGGAGGGAGAACATGAGCAAGGAAGTCAGGAATGAGAGGGGTGCATCCACCCACTGAGACGGTGGGACTGATCTAATGGGAGCTCACCAAGGCCAGCTGGACTGGGAGTGATGGAGCATGTGTTCAAACTTGACACTGTGAATGTGGCTGGCAATGAAGGCTGACTGAGAAGCCAAGAACAATGGCACTATGTTTTGATTCTACTGCATGGGCTGACTTTGTGGGAGCCTGGTTTGTTTGGATGCTCACTTTTATAGACCTGGATGGAGGTGGGGAGGACCTTGGACTTCCCACGGGGCAGGGAACCCTGAATGCTCTTAGGACTAAAGAGGAAGGGGGAGGAAAAAGGGAGGCGGGGAGGAGGTGGAAATTCTTAATAAATAACAAAAAAAAGACAGAATTTTTACAGAGAGGAGAAACACCAGAATATTCTAAGGGGAGCTGAAGCATTCCTTCTTGCTTTCAAACTCAAGTTCAGGAAATAAATAACTCAAAATAGCCTCAGGAACTTTCTAAAACTGGCCAAACTCTCCAGGCCCTTCCCTCCCCAAGCATGTAGAAGCAGTAAGGACTGCTGAGACACACAATCAGAAAAGGTGACCTCCCTTAAAGAGGATGGGGCTATCCAAACAGCCTGGAAAGAACACTTTTCTACCCATGAGATTCCCAGATTTTGTGAGTTGTCACCCATGATTTGGTGCTATCTGTCATTGGTTTACTGTCTAGAGTGATAAGCAATTGTTCCTGTTGCCCTAGCAATAATGTTATGCAACAACTTTATTTTGTAGATTGGGCCTTAAATCCAATCATAAAGTGGTTAATTACTCCAAAATCCAACATGGTGAACCAATGAATTTCATTATGTTTACTTACAAGCATACAGGTAAGGGGTTCCTTGCAGGAGAAGAAATAACTCAAAGACAATTGCATCATCAAAAGAACAGCTATATTACCTACTTTCTCTTCCATCAGATTCAGAGTATCAAGTGTTATGCTGAGATCCAAAACTCATCCTCATATGTGCAATTTATGACTGTCATGAGTACACATCAAAGTGATTTCCTAGAAGCCTTTTCTGAGGTTCCACTTAATACTGCAATCCCTTCTATTACCTTTAAAATACCTCAGGCCTCAGTAAATAAAGATGATGCCCCTCATGTTTTAGCAGTGTCTTTCAAATGTCTAAATGCCTTGGACAATGTCACTGTGAACATGGCAGGCACAGTATCGTGTTATATTGCTAGGATCCAAGGCAAATTATTTTTTCCAATTATTCTAATTATGTTTTAGAGCAAAAAATGGAAAACTGATGATAAATATTATACATAGCCACATTCAGATACTACTTTACAAGTTTCCACTACCTTGGGATAAAATAATTATACCTACATAAAGAACAAATATAATGTTTCTTTGTCATTCCAAAATCTTCACTCACCTCTTTCAGACATGCACCTTTCTGTAAATGGTGTTGAAAAGGCTTGAACTGCTGGATCCTCAAATGCCATCCTCTATAATGTTCACATTGTGTTGTTGCTGAAAATGAGCAAGAAAAAACAATGGTTACTATAAAACGGAGGCAGCAGCTACCATGCAATCATCTTATAGTTCCTCTTAGAAATTTATCTACACCTGCAGGATCTAATAACGAATCAGTTTAAACAATATGCTTGTTCATCTAAAGGCATATTTATGTGTGCTGATTATCTGGATTTTAAAGTTCACTTTGTGTTCTGCTCTAAGCATTGAAGCATCTTGATATTTAGATTAATATGGCCATGACCTGTGAGCAATATGTTAGATGCAGTTTCAAAGAAGTCACCTATAGGTTGGTCATAAAGAAAAGAAAATTAAGTATCTTTTAATATGCTAGGTAAATCAAAATATGACACACCAATTGGCATTCACTGTTGAAAGAAACAAGCATAGATTGCTGATCTCAGAATGAAACTCCACGACTCTTAGGAGATGGGTAAGGCAGATCAAGTGGGCCTTCCTAATTCTGGATTTCCCAAAAATTTCTGTAAATTTAATTTAAAAATAAGGTGTATATATATAAATATGTGCACACTTATGCCCCATCATATACAGATTTTATACACACACACACACACACACACACACACATTTAGGGAAAAGTACATTAGGGAAAAGTATCACTAATAAATAGACTAACAAAACTCTCTATATCAGCAAGATTTTATGTCAACATCATTCTGGAAAAAGAAATCTTAATTGAGAAAATGATTCCATAGAATGAGCCTGTAGGCAAGTCTAAAAGGCACAGAACTGCTGAAAACAATGTTTGTGAGTGGCCGCTCTCAACTCTAGTTCTGAGAAAACAAGTAGTGGCAGAAGCACCAGGGTAAAGACAGAACACAGAAACCCGGCACAGGATCCTGAATGCAGCCGTGGTGTGAAGTAGGAGTCTCTCTAAAAAGCCCCTCTCAAAGCCTTTCAATCTCAGAACACCAGGAAACCAATAGGGCATGACACTGTGCTCTCACAAACGAGGACACACATCCTGTACATCCCCATGGAGACAACAGGAGACTCCAGGGTCTGTGTCAGATGCTTGACTTGAGGGAAAGGAGCACTAAAGCCTTCACATTGCAGGCTCCCTGCCAAGGGCAGCCTGGCTTCATGCATTATCCTTCTAAGTGCACAAAATACAGACTTTCCACATTAACAATTTAAGGCAAAGACAATCTGCAATATTTAAAACTTAAATGAGTATCATGATTATCAAATTCCTGATCAAATGGACAATCCTGAGACAGCATTTTGTTTCACTTTTACAAAATGAGACCAACTTCTCTGCCTTCCATTTTAAAGACACACAAATGTTAGAAAACTACTACTAAGTTCAGAAATTGTCAATCTCATAATAACTCAGAAACTAAACTGGAATTTAAATTATGATTCAGTGAATACATGTTTAGTAAATGGACCTAACTTGATATTTGGGGTGAAAAAAATCAAGTTCTAGATATTTATATATCATCACATTTTCTCTAATGTATGTAATCTTGTCTAAAAGTTGCAAATTATATTTACCACATTTCTACAATCCTTACCCAAGTTAATATTCTGATCAGTATTGTAAATTCCATTTGATGGATAAAATAACTAGAGTTTTTAAAAATATATATAAACTTCACAAAATTGAATAACAAATTATCTTATTTAGACATAATTTTAATAGTTATCAAAAGTTACCTTGATTATCATTATGTAGTAAAATAAAAAGATTTGTATGGCCACAGGTCAACATCTAATTATTGTACAGCAATAGAACACCTTCCTTTTACAATAGTGCAATAAAATAGATTTAAAATATGAAAGGATTACATAATATAATCAATTAATATGCACAAGAAAATTTTATTAAAATGATTTTAAGTATCTCCTGACTTTCAGAATATGACTACAGCACACAGCATTCTTTCAGAAGAGGTGTATTCAACTAGAAGAACTGAAAATACCTACATACAAAAAGACAAACTAGCCTGAAAAATAAAAACACAGAGACAAATACTGGGGTTCAACATGAAGGTCAGGAAAGCAATCCAGTCAGCCACTGACACTTATCCCTACCTCAGTCCGAAATGGCAATCCTAATTTTGGACTGAGGTAGAGGTAACAGCCAGTGGCTGACAGTTTTCCTTTGCTGACTTTCAGATTGAAACCAATATATGTCTCTGGGTTTTTATTATTTGTGCTACAATAAACTGTGAAGGTATCTTTAAAAGGTCAAAATAAAAATCCAATCTAATTTTTCAAGAAAGTTATAAAAAACAAAAGTCCTTACCAAAACTATAAATGCACCTTTTGTGAAATTGTTATATTTGTGGATCGTACTTACTTATGATTCAGTGAGCACACAGACCATGTCCTGGACAGATACAGCTCTGCTGTTTCAAGAGAAGGCATCCTACTGCTCCCAGCCTCTCCCCCAGGCCTTCAGCTTTAAGCACTTACTGCAAAGGAAGTAGAGAAATAAGCACTAGGCAGTCTGAGAATTTTTTGTGAATGAAGTGAAGGGAGGTCCTCGATAGGGTTATATAGAGGGTGCACCATCCACTCCACTCCCACTGCACTGATAGTCAAGTCCTGCTCTTCATCAAACAGCCCTGGCCTGGGAATGTAGAAGAAGGTGCTACCAATGGGAAAACTCAACTTACCTAGTTAGTAAAAAAAAACATAGAAGGATTAGCTGGGCTGTCACCTCTTCCCTGTGGGAACTCATTTTCCCAGTCACATCTGTCTGAGTACTCTGTATAACTCCAGTCTCATCCACAGGAGCAAATTACAGCTAAAGAGTCTGCCTCCAACAAAATGATGACACTGTGTCAGACACCCAGTGATCTCAATGGCTTTGGGACATTCCTGGGAGCCTCTGCACCTATTCTGTGCCTTGGGAGCCTCCATAGAGGACAAAGTGCTGTTTGACAAATTAAGCATGCATAGAAAAATGCTCTGAGCACATGAATTAAATCAGGCTTATGATTTCCAGCACACTGGGAAAACCAAGTTCAACAGCAAGGCAAGCAGCACTGATCACACTCAAAGATAGCAAAACACACTTGAACTTTGTCAGTCCTATGTGATGAGAAGAAAGAAGGCACTCAGCCCTTGCAGGATGTGAAGTGATGATGTGAGTGACTGCTAATGCGTCATATAAAAACACTAACTGTGAACTTGCATCTTCGTGATATCCTTAAAATGAGAAGGGAACTGACAGAAAAAAGAAATCCTAACAACATAACATACTGTTTTCACAAACTGAAAAGAGCAGACAGGGAAAAGTGTGTCTGCACCATTGCGAGCAGCAGAAAATGTAAGTTCAAGCTTGTACAAGAGAGGTACAAAAATTACTTCTCATTAAGCTTTATGGTAAATAAAGTTTCAAAATAAGAATAATGGAAGAACTATTTCAAAATGTGCTCATATGTATATACACATAAAGCCCAAATGAAGTATTGTGTTTATATGTATATAAGTTATTATTAATTCATATTAAATTATGTATAAACTCTTTGTGGTGGCTTCTTTTCTCTTTATCTGTCTCCCTAAATGGTATATATAAAGATAAATAGAACCGTACACATATAGATAAAGTAACCACATACTATGAATGGGTACTCAGATCCAAAATTAACACAAATTAATTACATAAATATAAAAACAATGCACAGGCAGTTTAATTGGATTTTGTATCACTGAGTGCAGATTCTAAATTAAATTTACCTCTAGCTAATTTTCATCAACTGACTAAATACCATGAACTTAATTAATTCTTACCATAAATAAAAGAGTCCTTTGTAACTACCATTAATACCTTGCCCATGATATTAGAAAGATGATTTAATATCCGTTAGAAATGAAATATGTATTTTCATTGTTCTCCTACAGATCTTATCACATCATGCCCCATGTCATACCCTTCCTCCATGCTGACCCTGGCCTGAAGTCTAGCCCAGCTGGTTGAGTTCACGGTCATAATCCTGCCCTCACCACAATCTTTAGAAAGAATCAGAGTACCATACCCCACACCCCAGGACAGTTTGCAGAGCCCTGCTCTTGCCGCAGCTTGCTGTGTCCACATTAGACAAACAACAAAAAGTACACATAACTGAATCTCTTCACAAAACACAAACAAGATAAAAGGTCGAAACTAAATGTCTCTGACCCCAAATCTATCAGTTCTTCAGAAATGTTCTCCAGTGAGAATTACTTAATTAAAACTCCAGGATACAGAACTTTAAAAGTACTATTATACACTAAGTCAAATTATTTAATAATTTTTAAAAAGACACATATAAAGAGAATTAACATAAAGAGAATAAAAGACCAAATGATGTCCAAGAAAACAGATATGAGTCTGAATGGGGAAAAAAAAGGCAATCCAGGATTTGAAAACCAAACAGTGAAGAGAGTTTAGGCTGAAATGAAGATGGAATTGAAAACTCAATATCCCAGTAATAGAACTCCAGGAAACACCTTACATGTAAAGAATAGAGTATCATGTTACAAGGTAGAGGAATTGGGTCACACAAGAAAATATGAAAAAATTAAAATACTAGAAAGGAGTATGCAGGAAATTTTTGGACATTATCAAAATATGAAATACTTAAATTATAAACATTTCTGAGAGAGGAGTTCAGGTCAATGGCATAGACCAGATCTTCAAGAAAATCATGGAAGAAAGCTTCCCCCAAATTAAGGAAAGACACTCTAATACACAGAATACCATATAGACAAGATGAAAAAAATTCCCTGAGCTGTTTCATATTTATAAGACTAAATATACACAACATAAAAAAGAAAATTGCAGGAGAAAAAACACTAGCCACGAGAAAAACCACATCAGAAAAACAACTGGTTTCTCAAATAAAACTTTGGAAGCCAGATGAACCTGAGGCAGTGAACTTCAAACTCTAAAACACAATGCCAACCTAGACTACTATATTCAGCAAAACTACCTGCCATAGTTGAGGGCAAGAGAAGACACTTCTGTGATACAGAATGCTACATTAATTCATATGAAACAAGCCAGCCCAGCAGAGAATGCTGGAAGCAATACTTTGAAATGAAAAGAGGAATAAATATAGCCAAGAGACTGTGGAAAGAAAACAAAGCTATAATTGCTGAAACACAAACTGCCTAGGCACACAAACAAAAACAAAATGCCTGAAATCAGTTCACACTTTTCAACAACAGCTTTAAATATTAGGGGCCTAGAATTCCCAATCTAAAGATATAGGTTAGTTGAATGGATTAAGAAACAAAATATATCATTCTGTTGTCTACAAGAAACACTGATCTAAAGGATGGGAATCTTATGAAAGTGAAAGAATGAAAAATGTTCCAAGCAAATAGGACCTGGAAGCAGTCAGGCATTGCTATCCTCATTGGTGACAAAATTTATTTCAAACTAGGACAAATCAAAGGAGATAAAGAAGAACACAACATTCCAATCAAGAAAATAGTTAATCAAGAAGACATTATATTCTTTTTATTTTATTTAATAAATAACAAAAGCTATCTTTTTTCATTTTACATATCAAAATCAGTTCCTACACCCCCTTCCTCTCATACCCTCCTTCTCCCTCACCATTTCACAACTATCTACTCCTCAGAGAGTGTGAGGGACATTATTTTGAGGAAGAACCAATGTTCTCCCTACTATATCTAGGCTGAGCAAGGTATCTCTCTGTCCAAAGAGAATAGGTTCCAAAAAGCCAGTACAAGCAGTAGGGCTAAATCCTGGTGTCACTGTTAGTGGCCCCCCATGCTGTCCCAGTCATATGACTGTCACCCACATTCTGAGGGCCTAGTTTGATCCTATGCTGGTTCCTTCCCTGTCCAGCCAGAGTTGGTGAGCTCACATTAGCTCAGGAAAGCTGTTTCAGTGGGTATGCCCATCATGGTCTTGACACTTGGCTAATGCTCTCACTTCTCCCACTGTTTTTTTTATTGATTTTTAATGAGCTCTACATTTTTCTCTGCTCCCCTCCCTGCCTCTCTTTTTCCCTCCTACCCTCACCCAAGGTCCCAATTTACTCCCAATTTACTCAGGAGATCTTGGTTTTTTCTACTTCTCATGTAGATACATCCATGTATGTCTCTCTTAGTGTCCTCATTGTTGTCTAAGTTCTCTGGGATTGTGGTTTGTAGGCTGTTGACTTCTAATTTGAAAGCATGGTGATATGATAAGGTACATTGTGTTATTCCAATTATTTTGTATTTGTTGAGGTTTGTTTGGTTACCGAGTATGTGGTCAATTTTTGAGAAGCTTCCAAGAGGTGCTAAGAAGAAGGTATATTGTTTTCTACTTGGATGGAATATTCTATAGATATCTCAAGTCCATTTGAGTCACAACATCTATTAGTTCCCTTATTTTTCTGTTCATTTTTTGTCTGACTGACCTGTCCAGTGGTGAGAGGACAGTGTTGAAGTATCCCACTATAGTGTGTGGGGTTTAATGTATGATTTAAGCTTTAGAAGTGTTTCTTTTCCATATGAGGGTGCCCTTGTATTTGGGGGCATAGATTCAGTTCAGTATTGAGATTTCCTCTTGATGGATTTCTCCTGTGACTAATATATCTCTTTTGACTGATTTTAGCTTGATGTCTATTTTGTTAGATGTTAGGATGGCTACACCCGCTTGTTTCTTAGGTCCATTTGATTGGTATATGTTTTTCTCAATCCTTTACTCTGAGACGCTGTCTGTCTTTGAGGTGTGTTTCTTGTATGCAGAAGAAGGATGGATTCTTTTTTCTTATCCAATCTGTTCCCTTGTGCCTTTTTTATAGTTGAGTTTAGTCTTTTATATTAAGGAATATTAATGACCAGTGATTGTTATCTCCTGTTCATTTAGTTTTCATTGTTGGTGATGTTAATTTGTGTGCTTTCTTCTTTGGAATTCCCTTCTTTGGAATTTTTTTTGTTATGAGACCATCAATTGTCTATGTTTTTGTTGGTGTAGCCAACTTCCTTTGGTTGGAGTTTTCCTTCTATTATTTTGTGTAGGGTTGGGTTTGTGGCTAGATATTGATGAAGTCTAGTTTTTTCACAGAATATCTTGTTTTTTCCTTCTATGGTGATTATAAGTTTTGCTGGGTATATTAGTCTAAGCTGGCATCCATGGTCTCTTAATGTTTTCGTCATACTTGACCATGACCTTCTGGCTTTCATTGTCTCCAATGAGAAGTCAAATGTAATTCTGATAGGTCTACCTTTATATGTTACTTGGCCTTTTTCTTCGCAGCTCTTAATATTCTTTCTTTACTCTGTATGTTTACTGTTTTGATTATTATGTGGTGAGAGGACATTTTTTTGGATCCAGTCTATTTGGTGTTCTGTAAGCTTCTTGTATTTTCATAGGCATATCTTTCTTTAGGTTGGGAAAATGTTCTTCTATGATTTTGTTAAATATATTTTCTGTGCTTTTGAGTTGAACTTCTCCTTCTTCTAT